TTCATCTTTACATTCCATCCCTATGATGATTTGTTACTACCTACCTTTCACCTTCAGGATCTTTATTACTCAAATTTCAGCTTTACTTCATCTTAGAATCATTGTACTTTAGAGGAAAGAGAGCACTCATCCTACTAGTTTGTGGAAACTGGACACCAAAGAAAGGAAGAGTTTTGTGCAATGTCATGGCTTGTTAACACCAGAGCACGGGTAGAACATTGTTCTACTGACTTGAAGACCAACACTCTTAAGTGTTTACAAGATAAGTGTCTTGGGATCCCAGATTTATTTTTAAAGGATAAGCAATGCTTGAGGTCTGAGGTATCTTCTATAAAGAGTGTATTTAATAAATATGAGAAATCTTTCTCTCATGCATATTAACAAATTGCTCTTGAGAAAAACCACAAGTTAAGAAACTTTTTGCAATTCATTTTCTTCCAATATTACTTAAAACTTTGTGCCTTTGAATTTTCTAATTATAGATACAATATATCTTCATTTTCTTTATTTTCCTATAAAGGTGTCAGTAAGTGAAAAATTGCTTCTCTTACTTGATGGACTCTCTGAAATGTCCATTTTTTCTTCAGACATAAGGTTTTTCTTTTTCTGCTACCATATAAAAGTGATAGGATTAAATATCTGTCTCAACATAGAAAGGCCACTCACTGCTACTCCCTGATAATAATTTGGGCTTTCCTATATGGCTAATGAACTTGAAGTCCAGTCCTTCACAGTCATAATACTGATTGCCACCAGGAGCCTGTCACTGAAAAAACTATAAGTATTTTAACATGGTAATAGGAAAACATAAACAATGCGCATTGAACCCAACTCACACTCAGTCTGAGATAATGCAGCTGCCACATTCTTAGATTGAAAATCTGGAAACTTTCTCAAAAAGCTCACAAGTAACAAAGATCTTTTGTCTTACTGTATATGACAGCTAACATAATTTGCATAAATCAGTAGGCCTTTTCCCAAAGGTGCATTGAAAGCTGGGTTTGTTTCATTGACATTGTTATGTATAAATGTGCATGTTTCGTAAATGTATCTTAACAAGAAGATAAAATTTTGAAGGCTACAAGGGTAAGAATTTCAATGTCCTAATTTAACTGACTCAATATAGGTAAGAGGTAAATAAAAGACATAGGCTCAATGGTGCATTAAATAACACTTTTCTAAAGAGGTAAAAAAGTCTAATGATTATATTGATCTCAGGGGCTTGTAAAAGTCTTCCGCTATTTCAGAATTAAAGTTTAATTAAATATTATGAACAGTGTCACACTGTAATACGTTAAGGATATGGCAAAATTATTAGAAGTAAACATATAATTAAACTTATGAGAAATAAAAATAGAATTGGTGTAGTAACTGGTTAGGACTCTGAGCGTCGCTGTTCACCAAAGTGGGAAAGAAGCTGCTGCAGCGGTGACCCGACTCTGCTCCTTCCATACCAAACACTCACAAACCAGACAAGCTCCTGGGAAAAGCCGCCCCATCCGTACCCCGCTCCTGTTTTCGCCGACGAATATGTTTCCTTTGGTATAGAGAAATAAGGATACAGCAGGCTGAACCAGGACTAAGAGAAAGTTGGGCAGAGAGAAGGCAATGGCGGATCCACTGAGACACTGGGGCTGCAGAGAACTGCTTCTGTTCTTCATGCTCCTGACGACGCTGTGCGAGCCAGGATTAGGGCAGATCAGCTACTCGGTGCCCGAGGAGCTGGAGAAAGGCTCCTTCGTGGGCAACATCGCCAAGGACTTGGAGCTGGAGCCCCAGGAGCTGGC